GGGGGGGGGGGGGGGGGGGGGGCGCAGCCAGATCATGTAAACACGCGTGCTCGAACGTCACACCATAACACTATCAACCGTCGAGGCGAACGCATCGGGAGTTACTGTGTTATTTTCTAGTTATTCCGCTCCGATTTTTAATACCGCGTTTCGACTTCGCGACAATTGAGGCGATAATTAAGACAAATTAAGACGCAAACTCTTCACGCGAGCAAGTGTTGCGAGCTTTACCGCGATAGGTAATTACCGCGTTTCATTTACTGTTTTACTTGTTAGATAGAGAAACATCGCGATCGAGTTCCTCAATACCGATTAAATATTATCATCATTCATTTAATATTCGAGTATTATTACTTCTTTATTCGATTATTATTTAATTTATTCAGTTATTATTTAATTATTGCTATTACGCATAGGAAAGTAACTCGGGCATGCCGTTACGACAATTTCTTTACCTTGTCTTTAATCAGTTATAATTGCCGTTGCCCAGTTATTGTTATTACCAATTATTCGAGTATTATTACTTCTTTAATCGGTTGTTGTTTAATTATTTTTATTGCGTATTGGGAAGCAACTCGAGCGTGCCATTACGATGATTTCCTTACCTCGTCTTGTCGTGTGTAATTAATTGATACTACCGGATATTATTATATGGTTGTCGACCAGATATTAATATCATCATTAATTAATTAATCGGGTATTATTACTTCTTTATTCAGCTATGATTTAATTATTTCTTATTGCGCATTGAGAAGGAATTCGAACGTGCCATTACGATAATTTTTTTTCCTCGTTTTGCTATCGCGCGTAACTAATTGATACTAAATTATTAAATTACTAAATTAAATTAAATTTCTGTCACAGAGATTCAATAAAGCAGACGCAGTCACGTGACTCTAGGGGATGCGATGTCTGGAGGATGCTGCGCCGGAGGATCTGGCTCGGGCCTGGCAGAGTTGGCGCGAAGGTAAGTGTTTCACTAATTTGAATTCATAATTCCGATAAATCCGATAAATCTGGAAATTCTCTTATTTGAAATCGAGTTTCTTAATGTCTGCATTGTCATGTGTAATACTAAATTAAATCTGCTTTCTGTTGCAGAGACAACACAGACGACCAGCCAATTCGTAGGGGCTGCTGCGCCGAAGGATCTGGCTCGGGCCGAGCGGGGTTAGCTCGAAGGTGAGTCTCATTATCATTTGTAATTAGAAATCCAACAAGATTGATAATTCTCTTGCTCGACATCGAGATAATTTGAATCGAATCACGTTAAATCGTAATTATACAAGGGGAGAATTTTTTCAGAGTAACATCACCACTTGAAAAATTTTGATTTCTGATTTAAGTTCTGATTAAAAGATTTATTTGCAACGTTGAGAAAAAGGAAAGTGTGAATGCATCCCAAAAAATTCTTCCAGCGTAAAAAATATCGCGTTTATTTTTTTTTAATCCTTCAAACTTTTTCACTCAAATTGTCATCAATGCACGAATCTAATCGGCGAAATGGCATTTTTCTGTTCCAGAAATGAAAGCAGAATGTGGCTACCCTAATCGGCGGTTTGGTGAGTCAAAACAAAAAACACATTGATAATAGAAAGACAAGAAGTCTTTCGACGTAGTGCATGCTTATCGAATCAATGCGATTTACTTTGCTGTAGTTATAGTATATGTACGTGCCGTCCAATAAAAATCACATGCTCGAAACAATTGGAAGATTGCTTTTTCAAATAATAATATTAGTAATAATGCATATTTTACACAAATTTGGCAAGTAAATTTTGAAGTATTTTTCTCCCAATGTATATATATTTAGAAATTTATTAACTTAAATTATTGATTAGTCGACGATTTTTGTCCGAAGAAACTTTGATTAATTAAACTCCAACACTATCTGGTAGACGCTTAAAGTACTGAGTATATGCTCTGAACATTCAAAATTTTGTAAAATTATTCAGTTTTATTAAATGCGACCTTCCAAATGTTTCGAGCAGTACGCCAACGTGCAAAGAAACTGCGCCACAGAAAATGCGCAATCACACCACCCACGTCATAGATCTTCCACCGGTCGTTAATTTTCTCGATTTTTTCTCTCGTGTGAACTTGAATCGCGATTGAATTTCATAAAGTAGAATTCGTACTTCATTATTAAGTAAAATTCGATATCGTGCGGCACCTGCGTGAAACGATCTAACGTGATTGTATAAACTGCTCGCAAAATTAATTTCACGATTGTCGGAAAATTTTCAGGTTTCAATTTTTCACTTAGAGTTAGAGTTTTCTAACGCGGGACACAATAGAGACAATATTAGCGGGCGTTGGTCCCTCGCGAAAAACGCGATGTACACAAGTCAGACATATGAGCAGTTGTTTATTTACTTACGCGGCGCGCGACAAGTTTCATCGAACGAAGAGACGTCTCACACGGTAACATTCTTTTCGCGTAAATTTTGAATAGAATCTTTATTTCTATCGTCACAATTTTCATAATGTTTATTTTTCATTCACGTTCGCTTTCGCAATTATTAATTTGATAGGTTTGCGAATTTCACCGGATCGTATTTGCGGAAGAGTCGCGAGCGAACTTCGCTGAAATATTGCGGAGTTCTTATCCGCAAAAGCATTGCGAAATTGTCTTCGCAAAAATATTGTGGACCTGTTATCCGCAAAAAGATTGCGGAATTGTCTTCGCAAAGGTATTGCGGAGCTCTTATCCGCAAAAATATTGCGGAATTGTCTTCGTAAAAGTATTGCGGAGCTGTTATCCGCAAAAATATTGCGGAGCTGTATTGCAGCCTACTACGCTGCTCTATCGAAACGTTACATTAGGGATATTCCGTGTCGTACATAAGAATCTCGCACAGATTACTTCGCCTACGTGTCAAAAAATTTTACGAGATCGGTCTTCGATTTGCGTCGCGTGTTTCCTTTGCTCGCCGTTCCCTTTGTCGCGTGTTCCCTTTACTCACCTTTGATTCCGTTTTCTTCATAAGCGATTCGCGTTCGCGCGTGTATCAAAGCGATACACTACAACTTGATCGGACCGTTGCTGAATTCGTTATACATACTCGTCGTTTATCCAAAAGGCCGACATTTCCTCGAAGACGTAGTTCGCGATATTTCATACGCAATTTGCAATTCGGAGTATATTCTCCAAGAAAGACGAGATTTTTTGTGAAATCTCCGTTAGATTACCGCGGTCGGGAGTGAATTACAGGCGACGTGGGACGCGAGGACCATTGCAGTGTCAGATGCAGCGACAGGATGGCTGATGAACTCTGGACACCGTGGGACGACGCGCAATGGTGAGCGCTCAATTTAGACGCTCATATAGTAGACACAAAGCGTCACTTTACGTAGATTGCATGCACGTAGACGTAAATCGCATTGGGTCCGACGGGAAGTAAAGTAAGAATTGGAATTTGCAATTTGCCGGAGTTACGTAAGAATGATCCAACCAAAGAATTTAGCTCTGAGATTTTCGCAACAGCTTAACGAGTCAAGCACTTCGATTTCTTTAAGAGTACTGACTAGCTCAATCCTAGAAAAATGTGCAAAAAGACACAACTGGTAAAAAATAAAAAAAAACTTTCTTAATTAATTTCAAACATCTATAAGGCTTGAAATTTTTTTGTTTGGTTTAAAAAGATATGAGTATCCATTAATAAAAGCTTATAATTTTTTTAATTGGGTCATTCTTGCATAACAATGGCCAATTGAAATTTCGACTCGGCAAACTTCCATCTCGTCGGATTGTTTTTTGATGATACATTAAACTGCTATATTTCAACATATCATATTTATATGCTTTGTATACGTTATATATGCTTTTTTATGCTCTATATATTTTTTATATATTCTCTATATTATACATCCTTTATATATGCTATTTGATTGATATAATTTATAACTTGTTATGTCGTATTAAATACGACATAATCTCTTCGGAGATATTTTCTTATGTATACGTGTTTATTATTGACAAGACGATAAATTAAAGACAACAAATTAAACCGTGACACGAAACGAAATATTTCAATTTCTCGCTAAATAATTAAACTGAGATTCAAAACCGAGTGTTCTGAGATTTCGCTAAATCATTAAGCCGAGATTCGAACCGTTTTGTTTTGAGGTTCTGCCAAATTATTAAGCCGAGATTCAACCGAAGAGTTTTGTATTTCCGTTAAATTATTAAGCCGAGATTAGAACCGAAGTGTTTTGTGTTTCCGCTAAATTATTAAACCGAGATTCGAAACAAACTGTTTTGAGTCTTCGCTAATTTATTAAGCCGAGTTAGTTAAGCCTGGGATAATATTTTAAAGTTGTTTAAAAAAATTTTCGCGTTGGCAAAGATATATTATCGAAAATGACGTAAAGTGGACGTATTTCGTTCTGAATCGTCTCTTCGATGATAATATGCATTAATGTCACTCTACTCCCTCAGTAACACGTCCAGAATCTTGAAATTAATTTTCCAATAGCCCAAAATTCATAACGTTAAATCCATCGTAACATTATATTCGGATTCTCGGGCAATGGTACATATCTGCATATAGGCCGAAAGTCGATCATGTTACTGCAGGTTAGGTCATATAGTGTTAGCGTGTAGAGTACATTCTGGGATAGTTCTTTAGGGTTTGTTAAAGTAACATTCGCGCTTAAAAAATTGTATTTTCAAAAATTACGTCAGGTGTGCTTATTTCGTTCTGCATCGTCTCCTGGTTGACAATGTGTGTTTGTGTCACTCTACTCCCTCAGCAGCATGTCCAGAATCTTCAAATTAATTTCCCAATATCCTAAAGTCATGCCCATAACGTTAAATCCAAGCGTCGTAGGAATGTCGGATTCTCGTGCATTGGCCGAAAGTCAGTCATGTTATTGCAGGTTATTTAGGTCACATAGTGTCAGCATCTAGAGCACATTCTAGGATATCTTACAATTTTTTGAAATAATTTTTGCGTTCGCAAAGATGTATTTTCGAAAATGACATGAAGTTTGACTATTTCGCTCTGCATCATCTCACGTGGGATGCTCTGCTTCATTTTCGCATGTACTTTCACCATGCGAAAGGGTTTTTAATTCGACGCAGGTAGGAAGAAGTAATCTTTACAGAAAAATTGGATGTTATAATAGTAACTGTTCCTTATTGTTTTCGTCTCATATTGATGGATGCTCCGTTTCATTTTCGCACGTAATTTCACCATACAAAAGGTTTTTTAATTCGACGCAGGTAGGAAGAAGTAATCTTTACAGAAAAATTGGATGTTATAATAGTAACTGTTCCTTATTGTTTTCGTCTCATATTGATGGATGCTCCGTTTCATTTTCGCACGTAATTTCACCATACAAAAGGTTTTTTAATTCGACGCAGGTAGGAAGAAGTAATCTTTACAGAAAAATTGGATGTTATAATAGTAACTGTTCCTTATTGTTTTCGTCTCATATTGGATGGATGCTCCGCTTCATTTTCGCACGTAATTTCACGATGCAAAATGGTTTTTAATTTTGTCGAATCAGCATGAGACAATAACTTTGCAAAAGTATTCGGTATCACAGTCAACGACATTTCCCAACAAATTTTACTTTGTGTTGACTTGACCAAATTAAAAATGTTTTTGTATAGTAAAAGTACATGTATAAATGAAATAGAGCATTCCTATTTATTTTTGCACGTACGTTCATTGCGCAAAAGCATTTGTAATTCTGTGTAACCAATACGACGTAAACTTTGTAGAAAAATGTCAGTATTCTGTCGGTAAAGTTTTCAGCTTCAGTATCCTCTTAAAGCCAGGTGCAATCGCACGGAAACTCGTGTCATTCATGTCGCACGGAAAACAATCTCAGGAATATCCACTTTGGATTTTCTCCAATATTTTCACAACTTATTAGGAACTGGAATCCGTAAAAGCAATATGTCACTTATTATCATAAAATTATGATAAAATATCATAATTATCATAAAATTATCAT